TCTACTTTTATTCTACTCTCAACAAATTTTAAATATACAATACAGTAGTAGTAACTGTAGTCCCTGTGCTATACATTACATCCCCAGGACTTATTTATCTTATAACTGGAAGTTTGTACCTTTTGACCACCTTCACCCTTCCCCCCCCACCCTCATCCCTGCCTTTTTTTTGCCAACAACCACTGTTCTCCATATCTATGAATTCAGTTTTTTTTAGATATAAGTGACATCATACGGTATTTATCTTTCTCTTTCTGACTTATTTCACTTAGCACAATGTCCTCAACGTCCATCCCTGTTGTCACAAATGGTAGGATTTCCTTCATTTTTATGGCTGAATAATAGTCTGTTGTGTGTATATACCACATTATCTTTATCCATTCATTCGCTGATGGACACTTAAGTTGTTGCCATGTCTTAGCTATTATAAATAATACTTCAGTGAATATGGGAGTGCACATATCTTTTCAAGATAGTGATTTCATTTCCTTCAGATAAATACCCAGAAGTGGAAATGCTGGATCATATGGTAGTTCTATTTTTAATTTTTCTGAGGAATCTCCATATTGTTTTCCATAGTAGCTTCAACAGTTCACACTCCTACCAACAGTGCACAAGGATTCCCTTTTCTCCACATCCTAGCCAGCACTTGTTATCTCTTGTCTTTTTGATAATAACCATTCTGATAGGTGTGAGTTGATATCTCATTGTGGTTGATTTGCATTTCTCTGATGATTAGTGGTTTGAACACCTTTTCATGTACCTATTGGCCATTTGGATATCTTCTAGAAAAAGAAAGTTTTTACCAAAGACATTTTTTAGTTTCTCAACCCATTTTTTAATCAGATTGTTTTTTCACTGAGTTGTGTGAGTTCTTTATGTATTTTGGATATTAACACCGTATCAGATATATGATTTGCAAATATTTTCCACCATTCTGTAGGTCGCCTTTTAATTTTGTTGATTGTTTGCAGTGCAGAAGCTGTTTAGTTTGATGTAATCCTACTTGTTTATTTTTGCTTTTGTTGCCTTTGCTTTTGGTGTCAGATCTAAAATATTAAGAACAATGTCAAGGAGCTTACCCACTATGTTTTCTTCTAGGAGTTTTATGGTTTCAGGTCTTATGTTTTAAGTTGATTTATGTATATGAGGTCAGACAGTAGTTCAATTTCATTATTTTGCATGTGGCCGTTCAGTTTTCCCACCACCATATATTGAAGAGACTGTCCTCTCCCCATTGTATATTCTTGGTTCCTATGTCATAAATTAATTGACCGTACATGTGTGGGTTTATTTATGGGCTCTCTATTCTGTTCTCTTTATCTATGTGTCTGCTCTTTTGCCAATACCATACTGTTTTGATTACTATAGCTTTGTAATACACTTTCAAATCAGAATGTGTGATACCGCCAGCTTTCTTCTTCTTTTTCAAAATTGCTTTGGCTATTTGGAACCTTCTGTGTTTCCATACAAATTTTAGAATTTTTTATTCTATTTCTATGGAAAAAATGCCATTGGAATATTGATAGCGATTGCATTGAATCTGTAGATTGCTTTGGGTAGTATGAACATTTTAACAATATTCTTCCAATCCATGAGCACAGAATATCTTTCCATTTTTATTTGTGTCTTCAACTCCTTTCATCAGTGTCTTACGGTTTTTAGTGTACAGGTCTTTTCACCTCCTTGGTTAAATTTATTCCTTGGTATTTTATTCTTTTTAATGCAATTGTAAATGGGATTTTTTCCCCCTTAATTTCTTTTTATGATAATTCATTGTTAGTTGATAAAAACACAACTGATTTTTTTATATTGATTTTGTATCCACCAACTTTACTGATTATGTTTATTAGCTCTAACAGTTTTTTGGTGGACTCCTGATGGTTTTCTATACATAATATTATGTCATCTGCAAATAGAGACAGTTTTACTTCTTCCTTTCCAATTTGGATGTCTTTTTTTTTTCTTGCCTAATTGCTGTAGCTAGGACTTCCAGGACCATGTTGAATAAAAGCAGTGAAAATCAGCATCCTTGTCTTGTTCCCAGTCTTAGAGGAAAAGCTTTCAGCTTTTCACTGTTGAGTATGATGTTAGCTGTGGGCTTTTCATATATGGATTTTATTATGTTGATGTATGTTCCCTCTGTACCCAGTTTGTTGAGGGTTTTTATCATGAATGGATGTTGAATTTTACCAAATGCTTTTTCTGTATCTATTGAAATGATCATATTATTTTTATATTTCACTTTGTTAATGTTTTTTATTACATTGATTGGTTTCCATATGTTGAACCATCCCCTGGAATAACTCCTACTTGATTATGATGTATGATCCTCCTAATATATTCTTGAATTCAGTTTGTTAATATTTTGTTGAGGACTTTTGCGTCTGTATTCATCAGGAATAGTGGCCTGTAATTTTCTTTGTTTGTAGTGTCCTTGTCTGGCTTTAGGTAATGCTGGCCTCGTAAAACGAGTTTGCCAGTGTTCCCTCCTCACCTGTGTTTTATAAGAGTTTGAGAAGGACTGGTATTAATTCTTCTTTAAGTGTTTGATAGAATTCACCAGCGAAGCCATCTGATCCTGGACTTTTGTTTGTTGGGAAGTTGATTACTGATTCAATATCCTTACTAGTAATTGGTTTGTTCAGATTTTCTATTTCTTCATGATTCGGTCTTGGTAGATTGTATGTTTCTTGGAATTTATCCATTTCTTCCAGGTTGTCCAATTTGTTGGTATATAATTTTTCATACTAATCTCTTATGATCCTTTTTATATGTGGTATCAATTGTAATTTCTCTTCTTTCATTTCTAATTTGAGTCTTCTCTCTTTTTTTTTCTTGGTGAGTGGCATCTACTCTTTTCCATATAGATATGAACAGTGAAATGGATCCCATCCCCAGCTTCAATATGATGGCTTCTGATTAATCTAAACCGTTTATGGTAATCACATTCCCCCTACCACAGATGGGTTTAGAAATAGACATGTGACCCAGTTCTGTCCAGTGAGATCTGTGGGGTAATATGCTGAGAGTCTTCTTGGAAAGATCATCTCTCTTTTTGAAAAAATTAAGGTAAAGGAAAAGATGGCATGCTGATTCTTAGAACCACTACATTGGGAATTTTTTGATTGACTTCGTGGTACAGTAAGTATTTAGATATTACAATTTAACTTATAATTCAATGGCTGATTAAATATACATTTTAAAGGGAGAGAAGATGTTGTTTTAGTGATTTAAAAACTATCAGTAGAGAATATATTTAGAAACAACAGAAAATTCAAATATCAGGTTTTGTGTGTTTTTTGTTTTTTGGCCATGCTGCGAGGCACGTGGGATCTTAGTTCCCAGACCAGGGATCGAATCCATGCCCCCTGCAGTGGAAGCGCAGAGTCTTAACCACTGGACTGCCAGGGAAGTCCCTGTTTTTGTTAACAAAGAGGGATTTATTTGTCTCAGGCATCAAGAAGTTTGGAGATAGCTACTTAGTGATTTTTCAGATGCTTCTTCATTATTCTTAGTTTTCATTCTCATGCTTGTTACTTCATGGTTACAAGATGAGTGCAGCACCTCCAAGCAGGAGGAGGGGGAAAGGCCAGTGGACAAAAGGGGCATGCCAGTTGAGTCTGCCTGCTTTTGTCAGGAAAACAAAAGTTTTCCTGGAAGCCCTGTTCTGAAATCTGGTTTATTGTGTTTTATTAGCTACTATTTGCAATCCATCTATTTAATCTATTCTGTCTTCTCCAATTTAGCTTCAACTATATTAAGTCATTAACTTTTCTACTTTGTGCTTATGTTTTCTAAAGTGGGTATGTTAGACTCAGTAGGTGAGACATTTAATTTCTTTTTACAAAATTAGGGCTTCTGAGCAAATATGTAAATCTATGCTAAGTTCAATATTTTTCATTTGAACCAGACATTGTAGTAATTTTTCAATGAGTTTTATAGTTCTTATGTAAAGTTTTTCTAAGGAAGAACAGAAGACCTATTGAACATTTGAACTGAACTCCATTATAAGAATTACAATACAAACTACCTTTTTTTCAGAGTCCCTTTTGAGAAAGGAGCGTCACAGTCCATTAAAGGAAGAAATGAGCAGTGTTTAAATTTAATATCTGTTATTGTGTCCAGGATTTATCTACACAGACTTAGCTATTCCTCAGTTGTATACTGAACTCTATTTCCTTACATACCCTCCTGTCCCCACCTCTATCCTGTTCACAGACATGTTTATTCTCAGTTATTTAGATACATCATTACGGTAAAAGTTAAAAGCATAATTTAAGAGAGGAAGAAAATGTGGTTTCAGATTAACTGCTGGAGGTGGAGATGCGTGCCATGGACAAGGTGGAGCCGTACTTTAGAAGGAATAGAGATTCAGGGTGTGGTGGGGCAGGGTGTGGCCTCTTTATAATGCAGGCGGGGTGGAATGCAGCCTTCAGGCTTTGCTGGGGATGGGGGAATTAGGCCTCCATTCAGAGTGCACCCATTCCAGGATTCTGGATCTAGGATAGATGTGGAAAAATAGTTTCCGACTCTGCTAAGATGAATGCTAGTTTAAGTTCATCTCAGTAACTGAAGACAATAAATGAGGTTTATATTTGTTTCACCTACCATACTTTTACTATTGTGGCTAGAGAGGTCACAGATCATAAGGGAATAAATGAAGTTTGTATGCTCTAGGATTGTTTTGAAAGAAAGACCTAAATAAATCATCAATTTCACTTAGTATTTTTTGCTCTCCCATTTTTATAGTATAAAACAGGGTCTTGTTATATAACTTTTATTTTTCCTGATCTTATTATGCAGGAGGAGAGGAATGGGAAACCAGATTATTTGATTTCTGCATCTGAACTAGGGAAGAAGACAACTCATTAGTAAATCTAGTAGTTACTTTGCCACAGAATCTTAATCCAGTTTTTTTAAGTTATTACAATTATTGTGGACTGTACTGCATGTCGAGGCTAATTGGAAACAGTGACCAGATTCTTAATCATTATCAGGAAACTGCATTCAGAGAATGAGAAGAACACCCCCACTGGATGAATTGCAGCCACCACCATATCAGGATGACAGTGGTTCTCCCCATCTCTCATGTACACCCTCAGAAATTGGGGACAGTAAATGTGAATTTTCCCACTGCAGCAACAGTCCAAGATGCTCATATAACAAGTGTCCAAGTGAAGGAAGCACAGGTCATGAAATAGAAAGTTTTCATAATAAAGGATATGAAGAAGATGTTCCAAGTGACAGCACTGCAGTCCTGAGCCCTGAAGTAAGTAAAAGCACATAGAATTTTTAAAATGAATGTTATTTGGAAGATAATAATAATCCTGTGCTTATCCTCTTGGTCAGAAGGTTTTACCACTATCTTGTCCTTTATGGCTTATGGTACCGGTTTCTGTTTTTATCCAGCAGATTTTTCAGGGCTGTCCCAACCATCCTTCAACTCCCTTTCAAAAGAGGACAGGTAGATAAAAATGAGAGCAATATGCAAGATATTGAGAAGTATCTTGCCTCAGGGTTCAACCTCAGTAGGGGTTTAAAAAAAATTTTTTTTAACATTTTACATAAAACATTCTGGAATTACCCATTTCTTTTATCTTAAGGTTCCTATTTATGTTTGTGTTTATTTTTTAAATTATTTTACTTGGATATTTTTACTATTGGGAGGTGGCCCTTTAATGTTTTACAAGCCTTTCAGAATAATGTCTGCATTTCCATACCATGGAATATGGAAGGGATAAGTGATGCTCAGCTTTACTAATGAAATTTGAATTCATGGCATCATGCATTCAGAGAGGTTGGTTGGTTGTGTTTTAAGTTATTTCCTTTTTTTGGAGCAAAAAATGTGAAAACAACAACAAAAATAGGTGTGTTATACTTTTGAAGTCTTTCCATGTTCTAAAAGGGATTTGTTTTAATCTTTCAATGATGATAAAATCTATAAAGGTAATCTAGAGGTTTTCATTAGGCAGTATTACTTTTAGGTTTCCTTTTTTTCCAGATGGCAAGTTTTTACAACTTTTGTCCCAGACAACATTTCATGATACTGCAGTGTGTCAGTGTTCTTACTAGGTGAATTTTTATCTACTGCCAAAATTAAATAATGAAAGTACAGCTCTGAATAGAATTTCCTCAAAGTTTTTCTTATATAATTTCTAGGAACACTTTTTATCTGTTACTACTCTTCTACTCTTTCTAATATTATTATATAGTATCTAACTTATCTAACTTAGAAGGAAATTCTGCATTGGTATTATAAATTTAACATAGTCGTATTTCATCATTTTCCACAAAGAATATTTCTCCTTGTTTTGTACTTGAGCAAATTTGAGATAACTATTTTATAGATTTGCAAACTATATAGATAGCCAGCACATAAACAGTGAAACCTGGGTTGTGGAACTAACAACAATAATAATAGTTATCACCAATTGTGCCAATAATTTTTCTATAAGCTTTACATAGCTCATTTAACTCTAACAACCTCATCTTCAGAAAGTTGTTATTTCCATTTTAGAAATGAAAACATTAAGACTCAGAGAATTAAGCAAGTTGCCCAGGTATAAGTAGCTCTTAAACAGTAGAACTGTAATTCAAAGCCAGGTCTGCCTGACTGCAAAAACAGTGGTCTTAACAACTACGCTCTATTGCCCCTCTTGACTTGAATCATTGTGTGTGAAATTACTTTGAAGTATTGGTACCCTCCAAGTACACCACCAGGCAAGCTATCCCAGAGGACTCACAGACCAAATTAAGATGCTCAGGTTACACTTGTGTGTGTGTGTGCATGCATGTGTGTATGTGTGTTTTAAGCTATTTCAAATATAAAGCAAGAAGGAAGAGGAGCAAGATAAGGTAGGAGAACACACTTAGGATAGGATGCCCTTAGATACAGGTGGCAAGACAACAAACACCGTGTGAATACTGGTTTATATAATGTCCTTATGTTCAGTCTTACTCTTTCTGCTCCATCAGCATTCCCTAATTACGGCACGGTAACAAGGACAAAAGTTGAGATTTGAACAAGGGTGCCAGGGGCCAAAAACACATACTTGTTTTATGGGAGAGATGCAGGGGCAAGTACTCCTGGCCACAAGTAAAACTTGCAGTTAGTCTACTAAATAGACATAGATTTTATCTGCATTTCTTAATAGAACACGTGGGTGACAGAGCTGTCAGCCCAGAGGTGACATGATCATAGCTTGGCCTTTCCATCCCTTTCCATAGGTAATAGTCATTTGTTCTATCTTATTTTCTGTTTATTCTGTCTTTGACATATCTTAACAAGTTATTAACTTAGTTATTATATATATTTACCACATGTTCTGAATTCTGCCTGTGTCTCCCAAGTTACTTCCTTACTTCTTATCTGTAGTTAACAGAACCTGTGAGTTTTGCCCATATTTCAGAAGCTTGCTGTGTTAACACTTCTTATTGAGTCTCCTCCATCCTGCTTGTTTTTGTGTCTTCTACAGCGAAACAATATGTTCAAACTACAGCAAATGCATGTCACATCAATATTTAGGTGCTGATAGCCTATGTTAGTGTAAAACTCATTCTTGTGTTTTTTCAAGTTTACTTTGCTTCCTACCATTCCTTTAATAGATATTATTTATCAAATAGAAAATTCTTACCTTCCTATTGGTTTAATCCAGGATCCAGCTATTTTAGAACCTATCTTCCTACACAGTTGAACTAGGAGAGGAGTGAGGAGGGTTCAGAAGGATTCCCTGGCAAGGAGTTCATTAACTGTATTGATGACCTGTTGCTGGCTAAAGATTATTGAAAACTTTGACTTAGAACCTTGAAAAGAGGGATTATTTTCTAATTATCTGTTTGTAGAATACAAATAGTAGCTTTTATCTGTAAAAGTCCCACCCTTTTAACCCTCAGTTTCACAAGGAATGCCCAGGAAAAAAAAAAAAAAGGGAGGCACCAAGAGAAACAAAATTCAGAAATAGTTATCTGAGACCGTATAAAAATCTTTATTACCTTGAAAATCTTAGCTGTCATGACACTGTTTTAGAAAACATTTAATTGAAAAATAAATTAATGTAATTAATCATTTAATTAGCAATTATGAAGTAGCATGCAGTAAAACATTTTGTTCTAAACTGTCAATTTAACAGAGTAAGAATATTTTTACCCTGATCTAATCATATTGCATAAAAAAACTGAATTATTCTATGAGAGTTTGTTCCTACTCCTAAAGTATTCTTCTTTACTTGTCATCTTTTCTTCCATACACCATACAAAATTGAGTCATCGTAGGTAGACATGTAAGATCTATGAGGTCAAAGACTTGTGTCTTTTTGGTTCTCTGCTGCATCCCCCACCCAAAAATATGTCCTGGCACATAGTAGGTGCAATAGTTAGGCACATGTTAAGCTGCTGTAACAAGGAGACAAGTACAATGGCAAATACAGATACAAAACCACAGAAGATTGTTTGTCTTTCATTTAACAATACTCGTGGGTGAGTAGGTGACTTTGCTCTACAACATCATCCAGGGGCCCAGTTCCTGCTTTTTAGTCACTCTTCTGTCCCCTAGGGTGTTGTCCTAATCCACATGGTCCAAGCTGACCCACACATCCTATCTGTGTATCTGCTTGTGGGAAGAGTGAGAGATAGAGAGTGAAGAGCACGTAATTTTTTCTACAAACCAGATCTGGATGTTTCATACTGAACTCTGTTTCTCTCCCTTTGGCTAGAGCAGAGTTTCATTGCTATATCAGTTGTAAGGAAGACTTCAAAGTAAAGTTTCTTGCCAGACAATGTGTTTCTGGCTAAAACCCAGGTAGTTTTTTTGAGGCATGCGAAAAGGGAAGACCAAGAGTCAGTAGTAGTGCCTACTACAGTACGCATTAAATAAAAGTTCAGAAAAATTCAGAAAATTATAAAATTGGCCCACATTTTAAAATGAAAAACACTTAATATTTATTAAAATATTTGAAGGGGTGAGGTGGTATAGCTGAAAAGTCAGAGAGCTGAATTTGGCACTGTTAGTCACTAGCTGAAGCTCCTGTTACATTCCAGATAGTTAGACTAGCAGGAACTTTAGACAATTCCAGGCAAAAGAGATACAGTTTCTTTTAACCTTACAATTAAAATATATAGTTTCATGCTTTCTTGAACTTTTGGAATATGTATTCTGCCATTTTCAACAGTAATTAGTATTAGAAAATAATACGTAGTTTTAAATTCTGGTTAAAAATTGAAGTAGTGTGTGTGTGTGTTATGGAAAATAAATATTTGGCTGCAAGTATTTTGAGGCCTTTGAGTTTATACTTTCATATTTCACATTTCCATTGATTTTCAAGCCTAAGTGTGTTAACATTCTATTACAGATGGGGACATTTGAAACAAATCTGAAAATGGTACCAAATTTTTCAGTAGCGTTATACTTTCATTTATGTTCTCTTTCTCTCCAGCCTAATATTGAGCTGTCAGTTGTTTTGTTTATAATGTTACAAATTTAGTAATTTTTTTTACAAAAGGAGCAGAAATATACATGGAAGTGTATGTTTTCGTTTCTCATGATAAAAACGTATATCCAACTTTCTCAAAATTGTGATGGTGGATATTAAATTCTATGTCTTTATTATAATAAGTTTTTGAGTTTAACTTACCACTTACATTACTTTGTCCCCATAGAGTAGCTTTTGATTGTAGTTGGCTGTTAATTATTATTACTTTCTTTGTGATAGCAAATAAAAACAGTTTTCATATCATTCTTCTAAAGAAATATCAGATACTTATTTACATGCTAGATTAAATAATAGAGTTAAAAATTGAAAACATTTAAATTTGCTTTTCTTAGGATATGTCAGCTCAAGGATCATCTTCACAGCTTCCTAAACCTTTTGATCCTGAGCCAGAAGCTAAATATGGCACACTGGATGTGACTTTTGACTATGACTCACAAGAACAGAAGCTGCTGGTAACAGTGACAGCTGTCACAGATATCCCCACATATAACAGGACAGGTGGCAACTCATGGCAAGTACACCTTGTTCTTCTACCTATAAAGAAACAGAGAGCAAAAACCAGCATCCAAAGAGGACCATGCCCTGTCTTCACAGAAACATTCAAATTTAATCATGTTGAATCTGAGATGATTGGAAATTATGCAGTTCGGTTTAGACTGTATGGTATACATCGCATGAAAAAAGAAAAGATTGTGGGGGAAAAGATTTTTTATTTAACAAAACTGAATCTTCAAGGGAAAATGTCATTACCTGTGATATTGGAACCTTCTTACAATCATTCTGTGAGTATCTGATCAAATAGCCCAAATACAGTTTATGTCATGGTATATAATATACACAATTTTTAAAATCTGTGATCAACCCAACAACTTTCTCAGCCTACTTTTTACATAGTAATCATACCTACAAAATTTCTAAGTCCTAAATAGGTAGGTATAACTTTCTGTCATCTGTAAAAGTAGCCCTTGAAGATTATGTATGATTTATTTTATGTATTTTATTTTATCTTCACAGAGTCTGGCCTGATGTCTTACATATCTATTCCTTTGTTAAACATTTATTACAGGATTGCTTATGACATCATCTGAACTCCTTATAGAATTTATTGTTTTCTTTCCAGGTTAAAACTAGGTGATACTTTAACAGCTATCTAGCCCATATCTTATTTGATATACTACAGAAATTATTTGCTTTTATAGAATTTGTGCTGCTGCCTAGGTCATAATTGATTATCCTTCCAGAACTGCTATGAAATTATTTTTAAAGGTTCAGAAAAAACTCTGCCCTTGTTATACTTTCCACTCTTTTTTTTTTAAACAAAGATTTTGCAGTGTTTCTGAGAGAATACTTCCATTTAGTACTATGAGCTATTCTCCCTTTTCTCTTTCTTCCTCCAGGTACTGATCACACACAAGTGTCTCTTCCTCACTGTCTGTCTGTCATCTCTCTCTCTCTATGTTTTTAACTAAAGTCCTGCAAGGCATTGCAAATCGCAGGAGAGTTGCACTATGCCACATAGTTATTTAGATTATGAGAAAATCTGTGATATGCTGGAAATATAAATTTTGAATTATATTTATTCCTCTCATAATTGAATAAGAAGCATTTTTGCACATAAATATACAGATTTGGAGTAGACTTATATATTAACATAAAGGTATAATATTTTAGAGTTGTTTTTAAGCCTTTAAGTGTATTAAGCATAAGTGCAAGGTTAGAGTCTCACTGAATTTATAGCAGGCAGCATTTGATCTTATAGGACCTTCATTCCCAATAGAACCATACCATTTTAGCTAGATGATTTCAGCATCTTTAAAAACCAAAAGGTGATAATAAATATAGTATATCCCTATGGGTTTTTAATATAATATTTATCCTTTATTGGGTAAATTGATAACTTGTTTTAATTTTACATTTTAGAATTACTGTTTGGGGAAAATGTCTTTTTTAAATGATATCAGCAGTTTATCAGAGGAGAGGCAAAAAAAGTGCAAGCACTATTTCAGAGGGAAGAAGATAACTTTTAATAAAATTGAATATTCTATAATTCTTGCTATGATTTTTAAACTTTCTCATTATTTGGTTTGAGTGATCACTAGTTAATCTGTGGAAAATGCATCCTTGCATATAGAAATACCTGATTTATATTAGAAGAGAATGACTGTATCATCAAGAGGTATGTATTTTGTGTTTCTTTATTTGCTCTGAGTTATCTGTTCCCAATTCTGTATTAATTATCTTCTTTTCACAAAGAAAATGAAGCCATACAAAATAATATGTTTTTTTCCTCTGGTCAAACTAAATGATTTCTATCCACACCTACATCACATGTGTTGGCTTATGGGGTTTTTTTTCGTTTTTTTTTAACATCTTTATTGGAGTATAATTGCTTTACAATGGTGTGTTAGTTTCTGCTTTATAACAGAGTGAATCAGCTATACATATACCCCCTTATCCCCTCCCTCTTGCGTCTCCCTCCCACCCTCCCTATCCCACCCCTCTAGGTGGTCACAAAGCACCGAGCTGATCTCCCTGTGCTATGCAGCTGCTTCCCACTAGCTATCTGTTTTACATTTTGCAGTGTATATATGTCCATGCCACTCCCTCACTTTGTCCCAGCTTACCCTTCCCCCTCCCTGTGTCCTCAAGTCCATTCTCTGTGCCTGCGTCTTTATTCCTGTCCTGCCCCTAGATTCTTCAGAACCATTTATTTTATTTTATTTTTTTTAGATTCCATATATATGTGTTAGCATACGGTATTTGTTTTTCTCTTTCTGACTTACTTCACTCTGTATGACAGACTCTAGGTCCATCCACCTCACTACAAATAACTCAATTTCGTTTCTTTTTATGGCTGAATAATATTCCATTGTATATATGTGCCACATCTTCTTTCTCCGTTCATCTGTCGATGGACCATGTGTTGGCTTATGTTTGATTCTGTATTTCTATATGTCTGACAACCAGTACAATAAATTTCTGTGGAGTGTTCAGAAAAAGAAAAAAGTGCTAAATAGATAGCTTCTAAGACAACTTTTAAATCTGAACAAAACTATTTATCTTCTGCTCTTAGAGAATTTTTTCTCTGCATTGCCATGCTTCTCAAAGTTAGTGCCTGTGTTGAATTGTTGCTCTGCTTTGGCCTTCTTTCTTTCTCCACCTGCTCAAAATCTCATTGCTTGTTTTTGGCTTCTGTTTCAAAAACAACTAGTGTCAAAAACAGCTAGTGTATGACAGTTGTCAGGTTAAGACTCATAATTCTGTCTATCAGCTGTCTTGTCGTAAAAATAAAATACTAAAAGAATGTATGTGTTCTGTCTGTGCTGTAGTGTTAATGTTCTCTTTGCTTAGGTGTTGATATTAACTGTATAGAGAAATCATGTGATTGTGGATTACTTAGGTGATTTTAGCTCTAATTTTGTAAGATGTAATAATATATGAGTGAGAGGTACTTTCATAATTAAACATTTATTCTTATAGCTTTTGAATAATTACTTCTTCTTCTTGCAAGAGTATTAGCCTTTTGGCAAGGGAAAGTTTTAATCCAGTTAAAAAATTTACAGACTATGGTTAAAACATATTCAAAGCTTAATTACAGTTCATTTTCATGGGTAATAATAGAAAATTAGAATTCTGCATATAGAATTTAGTTTCACAGCTAGTTTTTCAGAAACTGATCACATCAATACATTGAGAGAAAAATGACCAGTATCACCAAACTGACTTTCTGAGAACTAAGCCCTGAGTTTCCTTGAGGGTAAAATTTAAGTTTGATATTAAGATAAGCATATAGTTTGATCAGTGAACAGTGGAAAATATGTGAAGGGTTGAAAAGCATGAGTTCTTTCTACTAACTAGTTGTGTCAGTTTGGATAAACTATCTAATCATTTTGAGCATCAGGTTTCTTGTTTGTAAGATGAGAGAATTAAAACAAATGATCTCTAAGGTTCTACCCAGCACTATATTCTCTGACTCTACTAATATATATTGGGAGAAAAGTTAATGGATTTTAGGTGAGTTTTGTATGCTTAGCATATGACATTTTGTTATGGGCATTTATTATGTTTTCTCACTCCTTCGTACTTTTTTCAGCAACCTTCTAATGTCTGAGGAAGTCCCAACTAAGTCCCACCTCCCTAAGTTAAGCTGTATAATTCACTTCCCTAGTTTCACTGGTAGCTAGGGCACGAGCCATGTTATTACCTAGACGCTCCACTCATATTCATCTCTAGGAAACCTCAGCACAGACTGAACAGAGAAGCAGATGCTGCACTCAAATTATGTTCTCATCAGGTTGAAGGAATCTGATATCGAGTCATCAGTAATTCTGAAATAGATTTGCTGGTACAGAAATTGTATTGGTGCTGAACGATAATAAATAATAATTACAGGAAAGAAAAGACCTTGGCATAGAAGTGTCCAGTAGAAGCAGTAGCAGATTTCCTCACAGGGTCAGTTCTGCAGTATGGTTTTAGGGTTTTTTCTTGAGAAGCTTAGCCATAAACCTGGTTCTCTAGTCATACTACTCCCTTTAATAAACTGCTGTTCCGCTTAGACAGTTAGCTTCCAGTGATTTCAAATAAGAACCCTGACTGGTAAATGTTGAAATAGCCATATGGTTTAGTATTTACTTGCTTTAGTCAGTTCTTAAGTTATACTCAATAGTTAGAATGTTGTCAGTTACCCTTCCTACCATGGTATATCCCTCTCATAAATTGAATTTTTCTCATACACTCAACTTGTTCGTATGGCATTCTTTCCTAGTGTATAACCCCAGTTACTTTCTTCACTTGCATTTTTGGTACCATATAGTAATCTCTCAATTACAGTTATCTGGAATAGCCTCTCGCCTTTTCCTCCCTCAAGTTTTATTTCTTATTCAATTTATTCAATTTATTAATAATATTATATGTAGTCATTATGATTTACTAATAATGAAACTTTATTCTTTCTCTCATAAACATAGAACCCTTCCAGTATAGACAGTACTTAATTAGTATAATCTATGCAAAGTAGTCTGTCTAGCTAGAAAATTGGGACTCCAGTCCTACAACTGCAAAGCACTGAATTTGGCTAACAACTTGAATGAGCTTGGAAGCAGATTTCTTCATCAGAGCCTCCAGATAATATCCCAGCCCAGCTGAAATTTTATTCAGTCTTGTGAGACCCTAAGTGGAACATCCACCTGAGCTCATTTGGACTCCTGACCTACAGAAAATGTGTTGCAACTTAAGTTTTAGTGATAGAGGGTACTTAATATGTGCCTAGATGTCTATAGTTCATTAAATCTGGCTCCATATTTCATTTCTGTGTGAACACATAAGAGTTATAGGAAATAGACATGGGAGTGGGTGGGGTTGTCTTGGGTGAGAAGAGAAAATCCTCAGGAATTCCTAGATGTAAAGGTTGGAGAAAGGTGGGGTAGAGTAGGAAGAAAGAGGTAGTAAAATATCACAAAATCCAAGAATGACGTTTTGAAGGAAGGAATACTCAACTTCGTCAAATGCTCCAGATGGAACCAATAATCTGAGTGCTGAAAACTGTCCACTGAATTTAGGATATGCAAGTAATGGGTAGCCTTAGAGAGACCTGTTTTGGTGGGGTAGAGGGGTCAGAATCCAAACTAGAGTGGCAATCATGTAGACAACTCTTCCACCAAGTTTGCCTGTGAAAATAGAGAGAGGGGGGGTTCAGGAAAGATGTTTCTGAGGTTAGGGGAGATTTGGGCATGCTTAAATACTAATGCAAATGGTAAAATATGGAGTGTAAAATATAGGAGAG